TGCTTCCTTTTCATGAATTCTTGTATTTCATTCGTTAATATTTTTTTTTGTAGAATTATCTTATGTAATCAAACTGAAATATGTGAATACAAGATAGTTATGAAAATTAACCTTTTTTCACGAATTCTTATATTACTCTTCAGTCTTTTTCATTCCTCAATTAGTATTTTAACATTTTATTATGTAATCAAACTGAATTAAGTTAAATACAAATTATTTATGAAAATGATGCTTCCTTTTCATGAATTCTTGTATTTCATTCGTTAATATTTTTTTGTGTAGAATTATCTTATGTAATCAAACTGAAATATGTGAATACAAGATAGTTATGAAAATTAACCTTTTTTCATGACTTCTTGTAATACTTGTTCGTATCTCTTCTGTGTCATTCATTCCTCAATTAGCGTTTTAACATTTTATTCTTTTATCAAACTAAATTAGGTAATACAAAATATTCACGAAAGAGAAGCTTGTTTTTTTCATGAATTCTAGTATCGTATTTTTTCATTCTTTTCCATTCCTCAATATTTGTTGTTTTGAATTCTCTTATGTAATTAAACTGAAATATGTGAAAAATTAACCTTTTTTCATGACTTCTTGTATTACTTGTTCGTATCTCTTCTGTGTCCTCAATTATCGTTTTAACATTTTATTCTTTTATCAAACTAAATTAGGTAATACAAAATATTCACGAAAAAGAAGCTTGTTTTTTTCATGAATTCTAGTATCGTATTTTTTTCATTCTTTTTCATTCCTCAATATTTGTTGTTTTGAATTCTCTTATATAATCAAACTGAAATATGTGAATACAAGATAGTTATAAAAATTAAGCTTTTTTCATGAATTAGTATTTTAACATTTTATTATGTAATCAAACTGAATTAGTTAAATACAAATTATTTATGAAAATGATGCTTCCTTTTCATGAATTCTTGTATTTCATTCGTTAATATTTTTTTTGTTTAGAATTATCTTATGTAATCAAACTGAAATATGTGAATACAAGATAGTTATGAAAATTAACCTTTTTTCATGACTTCTTGTAATACTTGTTCGTATCTCTTCTGTGTCATTCATTCCTCAATTAGCGTTTTAACATTTTATTCTTTTATCAAACTAAATTAGGTAATACAAAATATTCACGAAAAAGAAGCTTGTTTTTTTCATGAATTCTAGCATCGTATTTTTTCATTCTTTTTCATTCCTCAATATTTGTTGTTTTGAATTCTCTTATGTGATTAAACTGAAATATGTGAATACAAGATAGTTATAAAAATTATGTTTTTTTCACGAATTCTTGTATTACTCTTCAGTCTTTTTTAATTCCTCAATTAGTATTTTAACATTTTATCATGTAATCAAACTGAATTAGTTAAATACAAATTATTTATGAAAATGATGCTTCCTTTTCATGAATTCTTTTATTACTCTTCAGCCTTTTTAATTCCTCAATTAGTATTTTAACATTTTATTATGTAATCAAACTAAATTAGGTAATACAAAATATTCACGAAAAAGAAGCTTGTTTTTTTCATGAATTCTAGTATCGTATTTTTTTCATTCNNNAAACTGAATTAGTTAAATACAAATTATTTATGAAAATGATGCTTCCTTTTCATGAATTCTTGTATTTCATTCGTTAATATTTTTTGTTTAGAATTATCTTATGTAATCAAACTGAAATATGTGAATACAAAAATTGAATTTTTAGTGCTACCGTCCACATAACCGTATCCGATGTGAACGAGTACGCTCCGACTTTTTCGGAGCCGAGTTACGTGCGCCAAGTGGACGAGGGTAAAATCTACCACGAGATTGTGAAGGTCGAGGCGAACGATCGCGATTGCACCCCAAAGTTCGGCGACGTCTGCAAATATGAGATTCTGACTTCGGATCAGCCGTTCGTGATCGACATCGATGGAGCGATTCGCAACACAGAACCGCTGGACTACGAGCGTTCCCACAACCACATCCTGAGCGTCGTCGCCTACGATTGCGGTAAGTGTTTAAATTATTGAATCGATGCATGGTTTTAATTGCGTGGATAATATGAATTTCGTAGGTATGAGGGAGAGTTTGCCGGTAATGGTGACCATCAAAGTGAACAAAGTGTGCAGATTGGGTTGGCGCGGATTACCGGAGCGTGTGGATTACGCTCCGACGACCGGAAAGCAGGAATTGTTCCCGTCCGCCAGTTTGGAGCTGTGCGATGTTCCTTGTAACGTCCGCGAATTAAGAACGAGGGTCGATTTGGCGACGAAGCACATCGGCAAGGGCTGCGACAGGGACACGTACAGCGTACAATCGCAACGGAAATTGTGCGGAGCTTCGCCGAACGCCGTCGATCTGTTGCCAAGTCCTGGTCTCGGCGCCGAATGGACGAAGCCTTTGATCTCTGACGAGGGACACGAGAGCGACCAAATGTTCGGCTTCGACGGTCAGAGTACAGCCGTGACCGTTCCCAACACCGTATTGGACCACAACCTTCCGCCGACGTTCACCGTCGCAACCTGGATGAAACACGGTGTCCATTCAGGTCAAGATAAGCACGTGAAAGAGCACATCATTTGCAGCGCCGACGATCACAAAATGAACAGACATCATTACGCTCTGTTCGTGCGCAATTGCCGTCTGATACTTCTGTTGCGTCGTGACTTCAGCGAGGGCGATTTGAACATCTTCAGACCAGCCGAGTGGCGCTGGAAGTTGCCTCAGGTGTGCGACGACCAGTGGCATCATTACGCGGTCAACGTGCGTTTCCCCGACGTCGAACTGTACGTCGACGGACAGATCTTCAGGGCCGAGAAGAAAAACCCGGAGGTAATCGATGACTGGCCTCTTCATCCGACCAAAGGGATCAACACCACGTTGACCGTCGGCGCCTGCTGGCAAGGATCTGATAACAAGATGAAGCATTACCTCAAGGGATATCTGGCCGGTCTGAGCGTTCTCGTGGGAGAAACGGAGAAACCCGAAGTTCTGAGTTGCCTCCACCAGTGCAAGGAGAGTCTCCAAGTTCCCGCGATGGAACTGCTGCAGCCGGGAATGGAATTATTGACGAACTCCGATTTGACCGAAGTTACCGTCGAAGGAGACAACAGGACGAACTTGGAGACTCTGGTCAGGAAAATTGGGTACATCAATAGCCGCGAGTTTCCGAGTCCCGGCAGGAGAAACCTGAGGCTCACGACGACGGTCACCTGCGATAACGGGAGAGCAGTCAAAGTACCGGACGCACAAACTTACGTAATGGTTCTGAGACCGCAAACGCCGAGCATCGGCATCAACGGAACCGGTAATTTGGCCCGAAAATACGAGGACTTTAGGATGGGCGTCCGAGTGCTCGCCGACGTGCACATCGCCGGTGAAAAGAAACTGGACAAATGCTCCCTGACCATTTATCCCAACCTGAATCCCGATCATGAGAATCTCAGCGTTCCCGAGGAGATGCTCAAGAAACTCGGGATGGCGGCTCGCGTTTCCAAAGATGGCGTCACCGTCGCCGGATCCGATATGTTCTACAATTATCAGCTGGTCTTGAGACAAATCGTCTACACCAACCGCAAACCGGCCTACTATTTGAATCGCGTCTTCAAGCTGACTTGTTCCGAACTGAATGGCCGTTTCACTTCAAATGAATACGTACAAACCGTAAGTGTTTAAAGTTTAGATTCTAGAAGATCGATCATCATAATATTGTATCAAATTTTCAGTTAACTGTAATTCATCCGACACCTAAAGAACCCATGGTAGCCCACGCTCAAGTTAACAATAAACATGCCATCGAGATGCACCCAGCCTCCGTCGTGAGTCGCGATTACATGACCCCAAGCGATCATCTTTTAGCTAACGGAAGCTCTCATCCGGTCGCAATAATCGTCGTCGTATGCATCAGCTTCTTGGTCTTCATTATTGGTCTGGGAGTGGCAAGGATACGCGCCGCCCATCACAAGAGCAGCTCGGAGGAAGTGCAGGATTCCGAAATGACCTGGGACGATTCGGCTCTCACCATCACCGTCAACCCAATGGAGGTGCGTATCTATAATTATCAATTCGAGCCAACAATATATAATTGATGAATTTTTGCAGAGCGCCGAACGAAAGATCGAAGGTACCGCCGAATTTTCCGAAAGCGAACAATCCGATTCCGAGAGTTCCTCCGACGACGAGGACGACGACGACGAGGGTGGCGTCGTCGCGGCTCACCGCATCCCCGATTCTTCCGAGGAGGACGAAGAGGAGGAGCGAGTGCAGCGCACCAATCGTAAGCATGGCGGTAAACACGCCTACCAGAACGTAAGCCAATTGGAGTGGGACCACTCCAATATGTAAGACGAGCGCGCGACACGACGGTACTTTTGATCGGGTTTCATGGGGGATTTCAAACAAAGCAAACAAAAAAGATGATGATGATGATGAATGCGCGCACAAATAATTTGCGCACCAATTTTTTTTCTTTAGATTAATCGCCTGATCGCGCAACAATCTTTCTGAGAGCTTATCCCACCCCCGAATTGAAAGAAAAAACAACCCGATTCATTTTAATAATATTGGTAAAGAAAAAACAACAATACAAAGTATTTATAGCGCGCTCGCAAAAAGCATAACGGTTTGATCGATAAACGAATAATATTCCTACAACTGTATGTATATTCATAGGCGGCAGCAGCAGCATTTCAATGCGTTTCTTTTATATATATTTTTATATTTTTTAATGCAGCAACTGGTACATTCAGCTTTACTTTCTGTTATTTTTTTTTTGACTAGTCGTTTAAGATATTACTTTGTTTTGATATAGACTGAATTGTTTCAAATATTTGTTTCTGGTTATACATATATATGTTTGTTTGGCGATCAAACCTCGAGACTATTTCGGCAGAGTTTATTGCGTGCAAATGGTTAAATAATAATCGTCCATAATGTTAGAGATATAATTATATATCCCCTACACACAGTAGTTAGAATAACAATCTTATATAAATATATATATATAACAACAACAAAAAAAAAAGATATATATATATATAGTTAATAACAAAACAGATAATATTTAAGACAAACTCGATCGCTTTTATTGGGAACTCGTTTCACTCTCTCTCTCTCTCCCTTATTATTATTATTACTATTACTATATCTCCTCTATTTTGTTGTTTCTGTTTGATCTACCTGAAATTTACAGTTTTCTGTTTTATCGTTTTCTCTTTACTTATTTACACAAATCTTATATACGAAAGAAGAAACAAATTTTAAATACATATATTTATATACATACATAAAAAAAAAAGTGCATATATATATATATTTTTAGCGCGCGCATGTGTGATAAGGGCAGCTTTTTTCCCCCTTTATTAATTAATTAATTACTATAATTTTACTCGATCTTTTACTTGATTAGTAACCTAGATGCCGGCCATTTTTTAAGATACTAACTAATTTTAGTCACGTAGGAATTTAGTGTTTACAACAAACAACAACAACAACAAAAATAAATGCAAGAAGCAACAACAACAATAACAACAATTGAGACACGAGACAAAAGAAAAATGTTTATAATTTTTTTTTTTTCAACTATCGCTTCTTTTTCATTTGTTTTTCTTTTTTTAGCTTAATCATTAACCTGAAGTATTTCTCTCTCCTTTTTTTTTACTAAATTAAAACTTTTAGTTTTTAATTGGTCTTGTTTTTTTTTTTTGTTTTCTCTCCCCCTTTTAATTCTATTAATCTGGCAGTATTTGCGTACTTAATCTTCGTTTTAATATTGGTTTTTTTTTTAGTGATAAGCGCGAACGTAGAAGGTTCAAATAAAAAAACAAAAACAAAAGAAAAAACTTAAAAAAGAAAGATGAATGTTGCATCGTTTCGGCTTCGTTTTTGTTTTTTTTTTTATATATATATATATCATCTATATGGTTTTAAGTATA